GAAGACGAGGAGTCGCCCGCGATTGGACACGGGCAGGCTGTTGTTATTACATTACGGGAGGACAGCGGAATCTTTTGGGACACACGCGGGAGGAAGTGGGGCACTTTAACGGGACAGGGAAGTGCGTTACACCTTTGCCACTCCTTGCGCGGGGAATGACCGCGACTGTACCAATAAAGCAACAACTTTCAGGAGGGATAACTACAGAAATTACACAAGCGTCGACGACGCGTCCAACGTTTTATCATCGCCGTTCCTGTTTAAAGGTTTAAAGCCACATGTAGTGATTGGCGCCTGCTTCGCGCTCTCGATGAAGCCATCACGGTCTGGCTTCATCATTTGACCGCTGGGCTGCATTGTTCGATGAGTGAGGAAGCGGGGTTTGTGGGGGGGGGGGGGGGGGTAGCCCGACGCCCAGAGCGCGTCACAGGCAATCTGCTCTCTCAACTCGTCGAGGATTAAAGAAGGTTTAGGAGGAGGGGGACGGGAGGGAGAGGTGGCGCTCGGACAAAGCAGAGTGATGGCTGCAACGGTGCACAAGTAGTGCTGGCGGCGGGAGGCGGTACTGAAGGAAAGAACGGGGGGGGGGGGGAGGACCAGGTTGCTTTTGGGAAAGGAGCAGAGGCACGACGACGGGGCTACGGAGCCCCACGTGAAATATCGTAGTGATTTGAGAGGTGGCGTAGCGTGGGATTCAAGCCTTACTCCGGAAAGACGCGGCAGTGCCTTCCGCCCTAGCTCGAAGTCAACGACGAGAAACATTCGCGATAAGGAGAAAATGTGTGTAAAATCGAAACTGTGATGCACATAACTGTGATGCGCTGTATTCTTCTATACTTCATCAGGGTACACGCCAACCATCATAGAGGGGTTTTTCAGCACAGAGAGAGAGAGAGAGAGAGAGAGAGAGAGAGAGAGAGAGAGAGAGAGAGAGAGAGAGAATAAGTATTTGTTATTTTTAAATGTGTTTTTGGCCTGCACCTGATGCTGCGACCACTGCACTGTGGCCCACAGTGGGCAGGGAGAGGGAGCGGAAATGGCAGCAGCAGCCAGCACGCGGACTGGGAGGAGGGACGGGCGAGTAAAGACGAGGAAAAAAAAGAGTGGTAAAAAAAACGGAAGTAAGAGGTTAGAAAAAGGAAGAGGGGAAAAGGGCAGAGCTGAGTGCAACCGGCTGCATCACAGTAACAATTTGTTGTTGTTGTTTTTTAGTCGTTTTTCAAATTTAAATTAAATTTCGAAAAATAAAAGAGTAACAGTGCATTGGGGTGCCTAGGCCGCCCGGCGAGGCACCGGTGTCCGGCGGGGCTGCCTAGGCGCGGGGCCGCAGGCGCCAGGGCGGCGCTGCCGGACAGGCCCGTCAGTGACGGCGCCGTTATAGGACGGGTGAAGGACCACTTTACCTGACCGCAGACACTCGCCGCGCCGGCCGCGGACTTGACTTTGTACCTCACCACAATTATATCACCGCTGACTCCGTGGGTGGTGAGATTACAAGTTGATTAGGTAGACGGACGGACGGACGGTCGGTCAGACAGACAGACAGACAGACAGACAAGGCATACGCTGTAATCCAAAGTGTCAATGACTGACCCCCCTCCCCTGCTACCTATTTAGAAGAAGAATAAGAAGAGGAAGGGAACGAAGAAGAAGAAGAAGAACCGAGGAAAACACACCGCGGACGCAGAGGGGAGGTGTCGATGGCAATGAAATTCCCATCAGCTCTCTTGCGGCCTGATGTTGCGTCCCGGGGCGTCGCTTCTCGTGACGCACGTTCACCTCACTGTTCACGTGCAGCTTGCGGCGGCTGCGGCGGGCCGCGGTAACTGCAGTAGCAGTGTGATGATTCCACCTCTTACGACCGGCGCCCGGTCGAGAGATGGAGAGAGAGGGAGAGGGAGATGGAGAGAGAGAGAGAGGGGGGGGGGGCGGCGCCGGTGCGCTGCAACGTCTCCTGCTCGTATTTTTTGCCCTCGTTAGCTCGGCACGCCGGGCTGTTGCGTCGCCCCCTCCAAGCCTGCTTGGCTGGCTGCGCCGTGCTGCGCGAGGCGCGGACGGAGGCCAAGTTCAAGTTCACGTTCACTGCCAGCACCTTGCCCTGCCCGCCACCGGAGCGTGCTGCCCGTCTACCGCGCGGCTGCAACGCGTCAGCTAGCAGCAGCCCAGCCGAGCCGGCCAGCAGACAGCCCGTTTAGCGTTTCACCTGTCTGTCTGTCTGTCAGTCAGTCTTCCTGTATGTCTGCATGTTTGTCAGTCTGTCCGTCTCGAGTTAAAATAATGAGCTAAGTTTTCGGTCTCCCCCGCTCATCGCGCTTAAACTTTACGCGCGATTCTTTTCCCCACGTTAAATAGGCGCGAGGGGGGTGGGTTACCTACTTACAGGGGTTTCTTGGCAAAAATTGCCTACCTTTCAGGCGGCTCACTAGAGCCACCCCCTTATACCGCACCTGATGTGAACGATGGCGACCGTCCGTGAAGGCATCGTTGAGGTTGGAACAGGGTGGCTCCAACCAAAAGCCGAGACTCGGACTCACAGCCAGAGCCATCTCGGCGTCCGGGAAGAGGCTCGTTGAGGAGGGGCGCCGCCGGGCGCCGCCGGGCGCCGCGCTGCCCCGGTGAGCGACAAAAAGGCGCGGACGATGCGATATATTTTTTTTTTCCTCTCTTCGCCCCGCGCCCCCTCTTCTCTCCCCTTCCCACTCTTTTTCGCACGCAGCCTCCCCCTCCCCCGTAATGGTGTGACGCCATTCTGCGGTCGTGGTGTCACTGGCCACTGGAGCGTGCCGGAGCGAGAGGATCTCCTCCTGGAGAACTCCTGCAGAACTCCACCTGGAGAACGGCTCCGGGTGGCGCCGAGAGCGAGGCGCAGCAGGCAAGCACTGTCTGCCTCCGCCTCAGGCGGCGTGTCCGTCTTAGCCCAGCGCGTCGCACTTTCTGCGAAGTTAATAAAATGAAAAAGAGAGAAAAAACTACTAGGGAGCGACACGAGATGCCTGCTTTGTTTTTTGTTGTCATTTAAAAAAAAATCTTTTACCTGGAATGACGAGCCTCATGAGCTATTAGCATTTGACAACACAAAATAAAGAAATAAAATAAATATTTTTTTGTATTGGAAGTAAAACAAAAGAAGAAGATGTTTGGTGTTGTGGTATGACGAGCGTCATCCTCACTTGGAATTTTCTTTTGTTTGTTGCAGCCCCCCTCTCGGATGAAGAAAGTCACCAGACGACTGAACTCGCAGAATATGAAGGTAAGGAATCCCTGGCGAAGACTACATCAAAGAACATTGGTTACTTTTCAGTACTTGAAGTCTCTACCTCTTCCGATTTCTTACGTTTTCGCAGCGTGCCTATCTGGACGGTGTACCTGTTATGAGAGCTTAAAATTCGCTAATCGCCGTTAAGGGCATTTAGGCTGGATTTTAGAAAAATAAAATTTTCAAACTAAAAATATTGCAGAAATTAACAACTTAAACTGCACCAATGTGTATCTTGATGAGTACAATAACAGTATACTTAATTCGCCCGCTACAAAATGTCCGAGTGGCCCTTTTGCGGCGATCCCCTGGACGTCCGAGTGAGACCGTGCGTGCGTGCGAGCAAGCAAGCAAGCAAGCGTGAGTCGACCGGTGGCGACCGGTGGTCACTCGAACTGAGCCTGTGGTCCTAACCATTCTCAACGTGGACTAATTAGAACCAGTTCCCGGGGCCGCGGCTGCCTCTTGCTTCGGAAGGGAAAAAATCCATCGGGACGGTCGGGGCAGCAGCAGCAGCAGGAGGGAGGCAGGAGTCATTGAGGCCAAAGAGGAGGGTCAGTTTTGTATCTCACAGGAGCGTGATTTGCATAAGTGACCGTCCCATTCACGGCTCCGGACGGGACGAGAGCGTGGGCGAGCGGGTGGCGGCCGGCCTGCATACGGAATCAGCCGGAGAAAGGTTAGGGTCGGGGAGTAGTGGAGGAAGGGAAGGAAGGCTGCCGGGAAGTAAGGAATACAATCATTTCTTGTTGACCCCTGCCTTCTTTTAGAAACCATTTTTTGTACAATCCGCGACACTTTTTTTAGACCCTAAGAGGTGGGAAGGGGGGAGGTGGCAAAGAATGGCTTTCCATAACAATCAGCACTTGAGTGCATAGGAAACCCATAGTATTCATACCCACACTCAGTAAAAAATTATATTTGCAACTATAACATTTGCTGTTTTCGACAACTAATTTTCGGAGCTGTACAACAAAAAGTTAGCTCTACTGCTAACACAATAGCTCTAGAGCAAAACAGTGGAACCACCTTGATAACTGTAAGCTGCGTAGCTCCAAAAGTTGGTTATCCATTGATAGCAAATCTTTTTCTGAGTGCAGGGGTAACCTAATGGGAGGAGGACATAATATTTGTGACCCTCCCCTACCCCTCCCCCCTGGGGCACGTGGTGTCGAAACCTTCCCTGATGAAAATCTGCTCGCCGTCGTCCTCGCCGCGCGAAAGCGCAGCCTCGCCGCCGCCGTCAAGTCCCTCACCGAGCCGGCTACCGGGTCGCCCAGTATGTCATCTGGCTTCGGACCGGACCGCGCGGGACCGGTGCGCGGCCTACCGGAGGCCTGCCGGAGGCCTGTCTGCCATGTGCCGAGCGGGCCCGGGTAGGATTCCGGTGCGCGTCCTCGTCCGCGCGTCGGCCGGAGGGAGGACTGGCCTGGGAAACCAGAGCCGGCCTGGCAAAAGCCGACCCGACCCGAAGAGTCGCGGGCGAAATTGCGCGCGAAAAATAGAGAAATCGATTTTGTTGCTGCTGCTGTTCTGCTGTTGTTGTTTTTCCCATGTTTTTAATGATGGCGCAGCAGTAGCAAGCAAGACCGGCGCAAGGCGTAGTCCGGCGAGCAGCCAGGCGGGCTGGGAGGCAGCCAGCCAGCCGAGGGCGTCAGCCGGGTCAGATCTTATTGCAAGAGCGAGGAATAGGGCTGCTAGACCGCTGCAGCCGTTGCTAACGGGAGGGCCGAGGGTTGAGGCCAGGGGAAGGCCACACTACCTAGTGTTGTCCTGACCTTCCTCCAGGAAACGCGAGTGATATTACAGATTATTTTAAAAAACTTTGATGCTGTTCCAGCATTTACAAGTTTTAAGATTTTTCTTCGTCTTTGTAAGGCAAACCCGTTAAAAGAAAAAAGTTTTGACAGTTTTGACGCTGTTTTCTGCAGGTTCGGACTCGGGATGCTACTACAACTTCCAGCACTACGCCGAAGGGGACCGCATCGCGACCAACGAGCCCTGCCTCAACTGCACGTGCCACCGGAGGATGCTGATGTGCTACCTGAGGGTGTGCCCGTTCACCCGCGCCATCGGCCAGGACTGCTCGGTGGAGAAGCGGCCCGACCAGTGCTGCCCCGTCATCACCTGCCCCGAAGGTGAGCGATGTGTGACGGAACAGGATCTGTTAGCTCATCAAAAATATAAAACTTATCAAGAATTTTACAAGTGGTTTGAAACGTATCGTATTTCAGAACAATTGGGAAAAAATCTCAGTTTTTTTTTATTCAA